CCAGGTGATAGCGTCAAATATTTTAAATTTTATAATAATATATATTTTGAAGACTAATACTAATTCTAAAATTGCGTAATCAATATTGATATACTTGAGACAAAAGTCCATTTAATTCCATTTGATTACTGGCAGTATCAACTACTGAGATCAACGCTTTTCAATGATTTATTTTTTAGTTGATTTTCTAAAATTTAAACTTTGTGCAAATATTTCAGAGGTATTTGTCGTTGCTATTACAGATGTGTGATGATTCTAGCCAATTTTGAATGTTAAAAAAAATTAAGTGTGGGTTTCCACCTGTAATGCGTAATGCCTCAGGTTCAAAAATCAAAACACAATCCACTGCCAAAACTCGCAGGTGCAAAAATTACGCGTAAATGAGTCAGTCAGGCATGGCTCGTGACATCCTTCAAAAATATCAAAAACGCATACTTTTGCTAAGTTTTAAATCGCTTTTAGTTGAAAAAATGTTTTTTTTTGTGGTAAAACACCAAGTATTAAAAATCCAATTTTTAAATTCCTGGGGAAAATGCGGGAAATTCTGTTTTTCGGAAAATGCCAAAATTGGTTCAAGATTGAGCATAGGAAAAGTGGAAGTGTGTATCCCTAGCCAGTTTTCAGGCTGACTACACTATAACGAGTGGAACGAACGAAACCCCTTCATTACCTCATGTATTGCATCCGCACAGGACTCAAAATATTCCAGTAAATTCGAACTCAAGTTGTCGTATACAGGAATTCTTGTATACTTAATAACGTTGCTTGGTAGAGGGGTGTCGGGGAGCTCTGGGGCAACATTGATAACGTATCTTATATCAAGAGCTTCCAGCACAGATGGACTTAGAGACATTGCACCAGATAAATAGAGATTATCCGTTATTTTTGATATATTGTTCAGCGCCAGAAGGCAATTCCTTTTAATCTGTAAACTAAAAAAGAAAATCGTTTTAGAAGATACTCAATATATACGTAGACAAAATTAAAAATGATTTATCAATATGAATTGATACCTCATGTTCCTGATATTTTTAGCTAATAAAGGCGTCTATCTAATGCTGGGAAAGTTTACCAGGTAAATATGTCAAGAGTTATCGTCTATCTCTTTATAATTTCAAATTGACCTAAAAATAATTAACAGCGTCGCTGTTCAGTCCTTTGTTGGGATTATAATGAAGTAGGCATGTAAATTAGATCTATTTTTGACCTTACACGTTTTTACCGACATTCTTGACATTTTATTATGAATGAGTCACTTGGTTTACCGCACTTACGATTATCTAGGAGCCAGGAAGTAAATTTATTTTTTTGAATCTATCGAAATTCTTGGCACCGACCAATGTTTAGAGGTAAGCTGGCATTATAAATGTTATTTTCGATTTACATGGTCGTAAATAATTTCTCTACAACCGCAATATCAAGGTGTGTATCATACACATAATGTCAGTCGAATTATAAATTTTTATTTTGCAACTTTTTAATACCAATGTATCAACGAATTCAGTTGTTTCACTCCGTAAATAGATCAAAGGACAATCGAACAACAAATTTCATGATTTTATAGTTCGCACATTAAGTTCTCCGAGTAATAATTTATCTTTGCGTGAAAAACAAATTGCGGTTGTTCGTTTTAATAGCTAGAGTTTAAAGTGAACAGTTAATATGTCAATAAAAATTTAACAATACAATGAGCTTTATCTTCAAAGTTTATGTAGGCGCACAAACTAAATAGCTAGCTGTATTGTACGTTTTTTTTTTTCGATTGACTAATTTGGAAAATAGGAAAGGATTTCAAGAAATTGATTGGAACATTCCTAACTATCCTAAAATTTTAAATGGAGAAAAATTAATAGTGATTTAATTGTTCAGATATCATCTATTACCTATTATGGAAATTGAAGTTGTTGAAATATTATATATCATTATATCGTTTTTTTTGATAATCTAATACTTCGACATCTTTAATTTTGGCTAAATAATGAATGGATTATTCGTAGGAAGAAAAAGAAAGATAAGACAAACTTGATATGAAACGTTTAAAAATTGGTATTTACATGAAAAAATTGAATATGATATTTCACCTAGTAATTCCCGTTTTATTCTAAATCATTTATCCCATGTACAGACCTTAATTACTACACGAAGAATTTTCTGAATGGGTAGGAATAATAAGGATTATATATGTATATTTCAGCTTAATGTATTAAAATATCTGATTACTCATTTCTAAAAGATGTGTAATATTTTTATTATTTTGGATCAAATCTTTGTGTTCAATTACACATTCTTTGAGGCTGCGTCCTGTATAATCAATGTAAACTGCATCACAGTCTAAACATTTTATGTTATCATTTAACTTTTGCACTGTCGGCAATTTTATTTTACTATAATTTAACTAGACTATGTAATCGTCCACTTATTGACTTGTAATTAGTGTAGGTGATCACAAAAACTCTCTATTTGTGGCATAATTTTTAAATCTTCATTGGGTATTCCCTCCAACCCAATCTTCGTTGTGTAGAATTCCCTTTTGGTGGCATAAATTTCAAATTCCTCCCAATTCAAACTTCGTTCTGTAGAATTCTCTTTTTGTAGGGTAATTTTCAAATCTTCATTAGGTGTTTCCCCACTTCAAGTGTTTTTTTCAGAAAACAAAAGTTTCAGAACTTGTAACAGAGACAGCAGTAAATTTATTAACAAAGGTCACAAATCGAAGCAGTTTAGAGTAATTGTGAATGTCAATGTTATTAACATTACTCAATAAATTATGTGGGTGCATGTGGTAACCATCGCCGTGTTATGTTCAAAATGCATGACAATTCTTTGAAACCCTTCAACGATCCAGTATTTTCTAGTATAGTTGTTAAATGCTGCCATTAATCTTTCGTAACAGTATAATGATGTTTGCTGTCTATATACTGACCTCCAACGAAAATTATCCAGCGGCACGAAGGTTCTGCGCCCAGTTATTCGACCTAATGCATTTGTTACGAACGGAATGCCAATTAGCTGTTGTCATACGAACGAAGTAAAGCGTACTGAAGGAATGCACCCAGTCAAAATAGAACGAAAGTTATTCTCCACTTAATTATTATATCTTGCCATTTGAAATTTACATTTTAAACCCGCAAAAATTACGTAACCCGACAATGTATAGTAGAATGGCTGACCTCAGTTCCCCTTACAATATCGATCCCTTCTTGGTCACGACAACCCTTATTTCAGGATAATAATCCTTTCCCGCTAATGCATACAATTAGTGTCAGAGCATGCTATTTCTGGGGTGATGTAAATTCCGTCCGGAAAATTTTAAAGGAAAAACATGGCTCCAACAGCACACTTCGTTCGTGTTGTTTTTCCTACCATAGCTTTAGCGTGTCTAAGATGTAATTGATTAAAAATCGCATAACATTTGCCACCCCCATTAAGTGGAGGTATACACCGGACTGAATTTACGTATATGACAGTAAGAAAATCCTCAGGGCGGAATTAACACGGGGTGGATTTTCGCTATTTCTACCACTAAATTGAAGATTAATTTCTGTTATGTTAGCTTAGTTTCTTTCATTTTTATACTTATTTTCAAAGTTTAACAAAAATGAAAACATATTTTTGTACCAAATTCAAAGAAGAAGTTCAACTTTTTTAAATTTTCTAAACATCACGACAACAAATGTTACTTTATTTAACAGTTCTTATTCTAATAATTAAAACTTAGATAGTTCGTCAGCTAACTGTAAGTTGAGTTGAGGTACTGTTTGCTTAATAGAAATAGCTTTTTCATTTACTATTTTAATTGACTCTAGGTCGTTAAATAGTTTCCTGTCGAACAGAAATAGCGATATTTACCTACATGTTTATAGAACTCCAACAATGTGTTCTCTTAACAACAGAACTGTTTCAGTGCGAAACATTTCTGGATCATGACAAGAACATAATTTTCGTAAATAAATAAAACCTAAAATTTTTTGGCATCAATCAAAAGGAACATGAACGACAAAAAGCAATAAAAATTTTACAAAATGAACCGTTTGAGAATGAAAAATTACACGAATATTACAAACCTATGTTTGAGAATCATAAAAAAGATTTATGATTTGCTTGTCCTTACAATAATACACTACTTTACCTTATGATATTGTTTGTAATGAGTAAAGTTTAATACATACATAATTTAATTTTTATCATAAATTACATTTCTTGTTTTTATAACGGTCTACACATTAGATAAATATCATGAGAAAATTGTTAGATTTATTAAGTAAACACTGTTTTTATACCTTTTAAATTCGTTAAGAAGTCATAATTAAAACAATATTTCTGTACAACTACTGAAGTCATTGTTTAAATGTAGTTATAATCCATTATGGTTTCGACCTAATTTTTTGAAACTATGACCATTTACTGCTTTGATTATTGCTACAGTATCATTGTTAATAAAACTTTTCATTGTTGCCAAACTCATTAAAGATAACTACTATTTTATTTTAACTGAATTAATTAATGATACTAATAGGAGTTACGATAAATGAACAATATCAATAAAACGTTTATTTGGTCAATTCTGTAACGATTTTTGTACGGGCATTATAAACAATCAACTTAATAATTAACTTGCCGTTTTAACGTTTGTTTATAATGGACTTAATTTGTTGTGAATTTCGTATAAAAAATTCAATATTCCGGTCCGTATGAGAGAGAAAAAGGACAAATTAGTTTTAGGTACCTGATATTAATTTCGGTTGCCTTTTCCTGAAGGATGTTTTCGGTCTTCGGAAGTGATGTATCATGAATGTCAACGGAATTGGCCATGACTTCCATGATCAGCTGTTGAAAATTTCACAAACAAATGATAATGGTAGCAGTACTCGTTGCGATTAACGAAGTGCGATTGACGATCGTATCGTTCGGTAAAGAGCAGCAGGATCTGGGAAGGACTCCCTATGGACTTGGCGTACGCGTTTGTTTTATGTTGCTCTCGCACGCGATCTCCGCGCTCACCGATAGATAACAATGTTTTCAGCGGGATTGAATTATTTTCTTTACCTGCTGAAAACGCTATTTCGCGTAGCTTAAGCTTTGGCATCGAGCCACCGACCATGCGCGGTCTGAAAAGCACATTCTTTCGTTCTCTTGAAATTTTTGTAAACAACAAATTCCACAAAGTTTTTCCGTCAGCGGCGTCACATGCGTGAACATTTTCTAGCCGATTTTTTTTATAGATTTTGCAAAGGTTTAAAAGCTTCCGGAATTTGTGAGCCGTTCGTAAGGATTACGAGCGATTTCAATTTAAATAAAAATGTCAGACGTAACTGTAAGTCCTTCCTGAAGATTACTAGCGAGGAGAATTATTTATGAGAAATACTTTTTGGAAACAGACATAAAATGAACATACTGTTGTAAACGTAGACTATCTTAAAAGTTTATTAACTTTCGAAATTGCCGGTTGTAAATATATTCTTGGAATCCTTAAAAAGGATGCTTGATTTATAGATGTTCAGGCTCGGTTTAATTTGAATGTGAGCTACGTAAAACAGAAATTTAATGACCCATTTTCATTGTATCTTTGCCTTTTTTTTACTTTTCTACACAATATAAGAAAATGTACCAAAAAGCCCTGTGGGGCAACAACAGTAAATGTTCTTGCTTATTGTTTTAAAACAAGTTCAAACGGTTGCAATTTGTTTACGTATTACAATATATCAAGATGATTTATTACGTTTTACTTAATCTTTTTGTTACAATTACTAATTAAAATAATAGTATTTAATTTAATTTAACTTTGTGTTTATTATTGGGATATAAAATGGAAACAAACGGAAAAGTTAGAAATTAAGCAGTTTTTGCAACTTTCTAATTATTTCTTCGACGAAAAATTGCTTCCTTATTAAGGAGAATTTGCAAAGATGTATTAAAAGTTTGTAAAAGCGCGGAGCTATAGCTATTGTTGCCCTCTACTAGGTTTGATCCTATCGATTTCCTTGCAGATTCTCGACATTTGTCTTAATTTTTTTAAATATTTAATTTTTCGTGGTCTCTAATTACTATATGTATATATTTTAAGACAGAATCGCGCAGCATCAGGTCGCACACGCTATTTTCATTTGACTAATGATAACGAGATCTGAAGACTTTTACATGAACTATAGGGAGGATGAATCTTTCTGATTTGCCTAACATTAGCTCGGTTTTATTTCGATTGCGACTAAATTTTTTATTAATTAAAATAATCTGGGTAATTTATGTAGTTCCGATAGTGTTGGCTATAATGTGCGCCACTGTTCGACGACGCTACTTCTACCGCCGATAGGTAATGTATGTGGTGTCTGTCGGTCCGTTGCTCGAAGAATTCGTGGACGTATATTTAGATCAGAGTAAGCGAGCATTTCATTCATAAATTAGCGCACGATTAAATGGAATCCTCTGTCCTGCAAGCGGCAGGAATGTGACGAATGCGAACCCGGCTCAACCCAATTTTTAAAATGCTCCGCGACGCAGCAGGCCCTGAGGACGTCGGCGTCTCTCTTGGGCAACACTCAATTCGACTCTTTACATATATTGACATGCGACAATTGACAGACAACCTGTCCTGATGAGTCTTCAACCCAAATTGTCGCTTTTGAAGTCGTCTGACGTCAAAGAAAACCGAAACCGTATAGAAAATTCTTGAAATTTTTCGATCTGTTTCTTAATGTAATTACCAACACAACGGTCTTCAAAGGGGCATAAGTTGGGTCCCCTCTCTTTCGAAACAGCCCGAAAAAAAGCAATGGGACTGAAGATTACATTTCGCCATTTTCGTGATTCACATTAGATGCTTTTAAATATTAACTTACTAATACATATTAATTGAATGAAAGTCAATCAGAAAGTAAAAACAGTAGTTGATGCCAAACAATTTACAGTTGGTATATTAAATACAGGAGCAAAATATTAGTATGCTTAGATTTGCAGATAATATAGCAGTATTAGCATCTAGCAAGGAGGAGTTAGAGATAGTTTTAAATAAAATGAAAACAGTACTGTATGAAAATAAATAAAAGTAAAACAAAAATACTGGTATGAAAGGAAAGAAAAGGTAGGAAAAAAATGAATATAAGGGTAGGAGACAAAAAATTAGAAGAAGTGGCTGATTTNTGCAGACATAATGCTCATTTTTCATAAGGGAAAGCTTATTTATTATATTTGTATCAAGCTGGTGATTGTGAAAATGAGAGTCTATTTTCCGCCACTTGAACAATGGTCGAACGTTACATAGTTGATGAACACATAACGTGATCGTTCTCACTATTCTTTTACTCACTATACTTAATTTCCTTAGAAAATATTTCCGCAATAACTCTCGATATTAATTTTACAATCTATGTCTTCTCAATACATCATTATAAATAAAGTTGATCTTAGTAACTACCGTACTAGTTGAATCAAAGATAATTAAATACTGGTGTGCAAGGGAAAAAAGAAAAAGTAGGGAAAGAGCGAATATGAAGATAGTAGACCAAAAATCAGAAGAATTTGCCGATTTTAGGTATCTAGGAAGTCAGATAAGTCAGGACGGAAAGAGTAGTAGGGATATAAAGCAGAGGATAACGCAGGGTCGAGTCGCCTTCAATAAAAAGAAGTCACTTCTATGCTCGCAAATGGTTAATTTAGAAATTCTAAAAGGATTGCTAAAGGTGTATGTTTGGAGCACGACGCTGTACAGGTGCGAAACATGTTACAGGCGAATGATGATACCGTGGATAGAGAAGGTAAGAAATGAAGAGGTATTAGAAAGAATAGGAGAACAGAGTCAATAAGAAATAGGCGAGATACGTTAGTAGGACACCTTCTCAGGCATGAAGGTCTAGTAAGAGACATATTAGAGACAAAAATAGGAGTTATGAGGAGTAGTGGCAGACCTAGATTAGATTACTGTTCACAAATAGTTAAAGATGTGGGATGTTCTACTTTTAAGGAAATATGAAGATTAGCTCAGGATAGAAAAGAGTGGAGGTGTCTGTCCAACCAGTCTTAGGACTGACGACCTTATGATGATGATGATATTAAATAAACTTGTCCGATGCAATAGCCTTCGTATAGAATAAATCCATTTCCCTTTCTTATTCAAATATTTCAAAAATCATAATATACACATCGAAATCCAAATTGTTTTCATTTTTGGTTAATGTCAGAAAGTTGTAAAGATATTTTATATTGAATTGACTCACAGTTCCACTTAAAATTCTTCTTATTAATCATAATTAATGATTCTTACTTTATTAATTTTATACCTACGATGCATAGAAGAAAGTACGTAAGAAAATAGTCCAAAATATTTAAAATATTGAGTGTCAAAGACCCACTGCCGATGTTATGCAAACCGTTTGAATACCAGACGTTTATTTTTAAGTTCTGCTACCTGCCAGTCAGTGTTATTCTTTCAATCTGCGCCAAATTTTTCAAATTTATTTTATAATTTATTTTTAAGAGAATTCCTGTGCTCTCACTTAATAAGGTAATTAGAAGTCATTTTCATACCACACGTTTATGAGTATGAAAATTCAAAAGTACATCTCTTTGAATATCATGATTCAGTTGTTTACATTATTACGTTGAATAAAAAAGTTTTTAAACAGCTGAACGTAGTTTAGTCAACAAATAAAACTCTTGCGAAAATGTTACGTTTGTCAACACTTGAGTAATAGTTGATGCTACAATATGGAAATTCGCCATGTTGTTTGCAATTATTCTTTTAAAAACTTTTATTATTGCCAAAAAAATATCCAGTGTATTATTTTTTTTTGTATCAGTTTCTGCGCACAACTTTGAATCTTAAAATAAGGACCAATGTCCCTTTTTCTAAAAAAAAAACATTTCTATTTTTGATTTAATTTTTAAGATCCATCAACCTTGGCCTAAATGCTGACCTTAGTAAAAATAGTAAACAAATATTTTCTTGTATTTTTTTTGTACTTGTGCTTACTTTCTCATGGTCGAATTAAATATGATGTTCAAAAATAACTGATCGCAACTTATCAAAGTCAGACGTACCTAGAGAATTCGCAGAATGTTAATTGCTAAAATGATACTATAAAATTGCAGTTAAAAAAAAAGACAAAATAATTATGATATTTAAGTTCGCACAGCTTCTCCGCAAGAGAAACAGTTAAATTAAGTTCTGAAATCATTAAAACTCCTAGGCCTTTTTAGTATCGTCCGGCACTGGCCTTTCTATCTATAACAAATAGTTTGCAACATTGTAAGTAATGCATTAAGGATATCAGACTTTTGTACCATCTGGCACATGTAATTCATTTGATTTACGTTGACAAAATTAGACTATCCGTTAGCCAGTCGACCCCTTGGCTTCCTACAACCAACTGGAATGCTTCTGGGTACAATTATATGGCAAATATTTTTGGAATTCACCTGCTTAAATTCGCTAAGCGAAACAATCTTAGTATGCAAAGTATGCGATAGGTACGAATAAGCGTTGACAATACACAAATATGACCTATTTTTAAGAATTTCTTTTATTCAATTCTTTTTTGAAATAAAGATCTATACTTGTACCTGAATATTACATGCAAATCACATGTGTTAAATGATTAGTTACGACGTGAACACTTCAATCATTATAGCCAATAATACTAAGGCTAAATGTTAAAACGCACTCAATAAGATTCTACGTACTTTTTTACATAATTACCGCCTTTTGAATCATAGTAAACAGTTTCTATTTTCTCGATATTTGCTGAGCGCCTTTTTGATTGTATTTGTTTTGATTTATCCCTTATTACTACGGCAGCCTCTAATTTTTAAAACGCACTCAAAAACTGTTGTCATCATAAAATTCTACGTACCTTTTTACATAATTACCGCCTTTTCAGTCATAGTAAATAATTCCTATATTCTTGAAATTAGAGGAGCGCTTTTTCATTATTGTATTTTTTCTATTTTAGCGAATATTACTGTGGTACCTTTGAATTTTTAAAAGCACTCAAAAACTGTTGTCACCATAAGATTCTTCGTAGTTTTTTACATAATTACCGCTTTTTGAGCCATTGTAAATAATTCCTATTTTCTTGAAATTAGAGGAGCGCTTTTTCATGATTGTATTTTTTCTATTTTAGCGAATATTACTATGGCACCGTTTAATTTTTAAAACGCACTCAAAAACTTGTACGCACATTTTTACTTATTTACTGCCTTTTGTGTTATAGTAAATAGCTCTTATTCTCTCGGTATTTGTGGAGCGCCTTTTCATGATTGTATTTGTTTTGATTTATCCCTTATTACTAAGGTAGCCTCTAATTTTTAAAACGCACTCAAAAACTGTTGTCACCATAAGATTCTCCGTACTTTTTACATAATTACCGCCTTTTTTATCATAGTAAATAGCTCTTATTTTTTTAAAGCTAAAGAAGCGCTTTTTCGTTATTGTATTTTTTCTATTTTAGTCAATATTACTATGGCAGCGTTTAATTTTTAAAAAGCCCCCAAAACTGTTGTCACTATAAGATTTTACGTACTTTTTGACATAATTATTACCTTTTGAACCATAATAATTACTTTTTATTTCGTAGATATTTGACGAGCTCTTTTTCGTGTTTAGATTTTTCATTAGTTTGAATTATAAATCATTGTATTTACTAACTTTTTTAATTTTTTATGGTTGAATTGCACATGCAAAAGGAAATAAAATAAAGAGAAAGGTAGACTTTAAAGATATATATTTCCTTAAAGAATAACAGTTATATACTTATAAAGAAGTCATAAATATTATATCGTATTTTATCTCCAAGGAATATAATTATATCCCACTTTTATTATGCCTTACACAACTTCATAGTTTTAATATCGTGAAAATTGTGATAGGACACAAATAATGTACAAATCCAAAATATATTAATTTCTTTGTTATCCGTTAAACATAATCCCAAAACTGAAAACATTCTACGGGCCACTTTTAAATCTTTTTCATAAAATATGTTAACAAAATAAACAGAAGAATAATGGAGTGTAAGAATCAAACAAATAAACAAATTAACCTGCAAGCCGATTTGCCTTACATAATAATAAAAATCACATTCGAAGTCACATTTATTTACTGGAGTAGGTTGGAATTTTAATGGTGATAACAACATGCTACCAGATCCGGTTTTCGGTCTGGGGTGCTCTCATTACACCGACACCACCCCCTAATCGTCGGTAATTCATCGCCCCACAGAGTCTCCACTGATTCTGCTCCGTATCGTAAACCTCAATCGTTTTAAGATAAGCTGTACCATCAAATCCACCCACTGCATAAAGCTGACCATTGACCACAGCCAAGCCAACCTAATTAAATAACAAATAATTTTCGAATTAGATAAATATGAGACAGTTATTCCAAAGATTGGACAGGAAAACTAAGAACGTAAGCGAAAGAATTATTTAACTTACACCACTTCTCCTTGATGTCATAGCGACTATGGGGCTCCAGGTGTTCGTATGAGGATTGTATCTTTCTGCACTAGACAATTCCATGCAGTCATCTCTACCTCCAACCGCATATATTAAATTGTTGAAGACTGCACAACCGAGATGCTTTCTTCTTGTGGACATTGGACTGACTGGGGTCCATTTGTTGTGTCTTGGGTCATACCTTTCGACTGTATTAAGTGGCGACTGGCCATCAGAGCCCCCTATTGCATACAAATAACCTCCCAAAACTGCCACAGCTACTCCCAAACGTCTCGTAGTCATTGGGGCAACTTTACTCCATTTGTTCTCTTTGGGATCATATCTAAATAAAAAGTAATATTTATAACAAGACGTAAAATGGGTTGTGCTATACCTATACCTTTCAACGTGATTTAAACATTGAACGCCATCCTGACCTCCGACAGCATAAAGCATGTTATCTAAAACGGCAACACCCACGCTGGTTCGGCAAGAAGTTGTAGGGGCAACATCGCAAGACCATTGGTCAGTTTGAGGATCATATCTGTTAAAAACATAATATTACACAAAATGAAATACCTACTGACTAAAACATTTCGACTGTTACCTTTCAATACTGTTAAGGTAACTTTGTCCATCATGTCCACCTACTGCATACAATAAATCATTTAGTACTGCTACCCCTACACCACAACGCCTTTTGCTCATAGGTGCAACCATTTTCCATTCCATGGTTTGGGGATCAAACTTTTCCACAGAGGCAATTGCATCTCCACTGCACCATCCACCAACAGCAAACAGCACTTCTCCTGAAAAAAAATACACTAAAGAACAACTGTAGAAAAAGTGATTACACAAAGAGCATATAAAACCTAATGGAATATAAGAAAAAATATAAATTCAGACATAAACAAAGAAGTACCTCTTCTTGTCGGTTTTCTGGGTCTGGTTCTTGGTCCTTGCATTAAAGGTCTTTCCTGTGGTAGAAGTAAATAATTTTTAGCTTCATCAACGAGATCTCTACAAGACTCATCTGATCTCACTAGTAAATCTGAGCCAACAGTGCCAACAAGGAATTTAGGACTCAATAAAGGCAACCTTACATGTTGAAGGACCTGGGGTAAATGCTGCCTCCTTTCTGATACATTGTACTTAACCCAAGACATTACAGCATTAAAAACCTGTTCTTCACTCCTAACATTTAATTCATCACTAGAAATAATATCTACCAATTGACTAACTGGAAGCAATAGAAATTCTTCACTTTCCATAACTTCCTGGAAGTTATGTTGTGTGAATTTGTCTGCAATCCTTAACAATTCTCTACATGAATGTGTGTCTGCAAAAGCACGAATACCAAGACAATTTGAAGGATCTAACTGTCTCTTCAAAAATTCACAGCAAATATCTTGAATTTCAGTTAGCTGTAGTAGGCAAGCAGCTGGTAGAAGGGTTTGAACATTGGATTCTTCAACAACTATGTGTGAAGTGTAGCAAAAATCTATAAGCAAATCCATGGCATTTTCATCAATGTCACGAATAGTTACTTCAGTTTGGCGAGATTCTGCTAATTCTCCAGTAAACATTGCACGAAAGTAAGGGCTACAAGCACTTAAAATCACACGATGAGCAAATATTTTCCGGGAACCAACATTAAGCACTACATCACACAATTCACGATGCCTTCGAAGCAAATTTAATTCAGTAAGGGTGCTTTTAGGATGTTTATCAGAAGTATGGGAAAGTCTCGCAGGAGATGGGGCCCGATCTCCGATGGCCATTTCGCCCATTCTACAAGTGGCTCTGATGTGAGAAGCCAATTGGAGGCGTAAGGGCGGTGACGCCCAACCCCACACCGAGTCTATCTAAATCGAAAAATAGTAAAATAGAAGAATTAAATGTTTATTTCAAAAAATTGACGTTCAAATTTACCTTTACGAATTGTGTAGTCTAATCGGTCTAATACCTTATAAACGTGTAAAATGAGATCAGTAGTTAAGCTCTTGCTTCTTATCTTCTCCCATTGCAGTATATTAACACCATACACTTAAGATTAAATATTGAATTTACCTTATTAAAAATATATCAACATAATACAGAAACATCAAACGTCAACTGTGAACAAACGTCAACTTTTGTATATTCTGTGATGCAATGTATATGTCTTCAACCTACACAACCAAAATATTACTAGTTCCAAATTTTACATCAATTTAAAATAAGAAACAATCGTTTATTTTTCATGTAAACCCATTTTTTAAAAGATTATACCACGTAGTTACTGAAAAATTTGTTAAAAATAATTTCATTGTAAAGTTTTGTATATTAATTACATCCGATAGGGTAAGATCAGTGTAAACCATACTTTATAATACCAAAATGATAATTGGCAGTGCTGACTTAGTGTAAATAATAAAATGTCATGATGTCTTCAATTCGCTTGTCAGACTTTATAAACGTCAGGTGCTTAAAATTAGGATCGTAATTTTAAATAAAAAACAGTAAGGCGGAAACACGTTATCCAAAACTTCATGTGTGCAAAGGTCATTACACTTTGTTTTATTTAACAGACATATCAGTTTATTTATTACTTTCGTATTTTGTGAAATTTGGAATTACGCTAAAAGAACATTGATTTTTTCGTCCTTTATAACTTTTGAATGCCCTGTGTAAATGCAAATCAATGTAAATGTCATCGAATCAGTGAAGTTTAGAAAATAGTGTGTGCTGTTGTGACGGGAAAAATTGTCTCTGAGAAAACTGCATCACAAATCATGGTAAGTTTTTATTATTCCTTCCAAATTACTTCATGATTCTAATCATACAATTATGTAGTCATTCACGGAAAAATTTACTACTCTTATGGCTCGTCCTGGGCCTGATGGGGTGGAAAAGGATGACGTGCCATGGTGGTTAAGATATGCAGGCAGAGGTCTAGGAACAGTAGGAGGTTTTAGTAAGTAACATGTAACTACCATGCTATAATTTTTTCTAACTACCATCATTATGTTTAGTTGCCATGTTCTTTGGTGTTTGGATGTGTTTAACAGTTTATGCTGAGTGCCTCTTTGGAGGTATAATTCAAATGGTTGCTGGAGGCATAACAATAGGAATCGAAGCTCCATGCTGCTGCTTATGCATAGGTTTTATACAAGACTTAAGTGATCGAATTGAAAAAAGACCTTATTGGAATAAAGCACTGGCATATGTTATGTATGTTGTAACTTACAAATGTAAGAGAAGAATTAATTAAGTTAATCTCATTATTGTTTTAGAATGGCACTTCCTCCAATAATTATGTGCCCTGGATTGTCTAGTATCTTTGGAAGTGGGTTAATATTTACTACAGGTGTAGTTTATGGAATGATGGCTCTTGGAAGAAAGTAAGGCTGTTTTCTTTTTATTTTAGGTTTTTAATGAGTCATGTTATACATATGTTGTCAGATAAACAGATACAAATAACATAAAGGAGATAAAGGATAAAGGTTTATTTACTCAAAATACTTTTTTATATAGCATAAATGTTTTTATATAATCACTACTCATATAAAAACATTTATGGTATGTATCAAATTCAAGATATAAAGAATTAAAAATGTAGAATGTTTTCTTGTTAGATGGACAGTCAGGGAAACATCTACATTTTCAGTGTAATATTTTAATACAATAAGACCACCTGAAAGGAGATTAATTAGGTTTTTATATTGATTCGATTTTTTTAAATAAAATTTATAAGCTTATCATACATCACCTTTTATGTATCAGTTATGAGTGTGTTGTGCTTACTAACAAATTATTTTAATACAATGACGAATATAGAGGGTCTAGAGAAGACATGGCTGCAATGGCTTCTCCCCAAACGGCCACATCCCCCATGGGGATGGGTGCTAACGTTGATCAGCGTACTACGCTTATGGAAGACCCCGACGTTTGGCGTCCAACATAAGCACTTACTAATAAGTACTAATGCTATTTAATTAATGCTAATTTATCAAGCCTGTCAAATTAATAGAAATTCTATCACAGTAATTTTTAACAGCAAAATGTAATCGTTTTGTGATTGAACTTATTATACCTACCATCAAATTCTTTTCTTAACAATACTTGGCCGGCTTTGATAGCATGTGCATGAATTGCTAAATGCTTTTCTTAAATATTTTGTGGCCTCTTTGTTAGCTATGCGTAAGTATGGACATATAGTTAAAACTGAATGCTTATTATAAATGTATAAAAAATACACTTGTCGTTATCCATAAACAAAATAACATATTTGGCAGATATGGTTTGAAATTAGATCAAAGAAAATGCATAATTTGTTAAATAGGTTCGTTTCTTACCATTGCTAATTGCCATATAAATGGGTGTATTAATGTAATATAATTAAGTTTATTCAAATTGCTTGCATTATATTACTTGCTGAGTTGCATGTGCATTTTTTTAATCAGAGATTTTACTGGAATATTAAAACACTACAGTACATAATCTTGCATAACTGATTTTCGTTAACTATATACAGGGCGTCATCTGAAGATATGCGATCAGCAGCCGTTGCTGCAGATGCAGCTCCCACGACGAGGCCGACTACCATGCGTTCAAATTTAGTAGCCAACGCTCAACCCATTAGTTTTACAGGAGCCCCGTTGTCCGACAGTAACGTATGACTTCCTTCCATTTAAAATTCATCTTATTAAAAAAATATATACATAGCGATATATATATACTTAATAATTTACCACCGATGGACACTGGCGAGCATTAAGAGTCACGGTCACGTGTGTTATATATTATTAATTATTCCTGTGGTATTAAAAATATTTTAACGTTAGGACTGTTTTCCAAGTCGCTAGGTTTAGGTAGTCAATTATAATATTGCGTGTATGCACTGTAAGGTAGCTTGGTAAATGCCTAGATTTTAGAGTATAGGTGATGGGACCGTTGGGGAGATGGATGGAGGTGTAAATTGGTATAAACATGTGTTTAAATGGGGAGCAGAATGTGGTGGCGTAGAGAGTGGAGGTGAAAATTCAAAGATGTATAAAGGAAATCAACGTTGTCATACCCAAATGGGTGTAATGATCTACAAGTTAATCCCTTCACCATCCTGTGATCGACGGTTTCCTTATCTACTTGTAAAATTGTAATTTATAATGTTCACTTCACCCCCTGCGCTTCTACAGTTTGACCTCCACCTGCAAACACTTGTTTAGTGTTTTATTAAGTCATTCCTACGTATCCCGCTTCTTCCCCACTCTGACCTATGGTCCATCACCTAGGCATTTATACGTAGCTGTTATCTGGATAATTAAGAGATGGATGAAAAAATTAGACGCTTTATAATTATTATATAAATCGAAATTATTCCAAAAAGTGTCTTTGATGTCTGTCGTGTCTCTTTGTAGGTATATTCTTTTAGATAGGGGAATGTATTGGCTCTGTACGTTTTTCTTTCTTTAAAATTTTTATTTTTAATAAGTGTTTGTATTTTCCTTTTCTTCATATTGTTCATCAAAAAGGAACATTAATTTACTCACTCTTGATTAATGATTTATTAATGTTTGGATACTTATTATACGCATTACGTTTTATTATTATATTTTAAAGCTTTAGATGATAATTATTAAAAAAAATTAAAATAGGCGAAATAAATAAATATCAGGTACTGTTTTTGGAAATAACTTTTTATCACCTAATTTCTTCTTATGGATTCTTTTTGTAGAATGCTGCATTATTTACTCCTATTTTTTTCTATTTTAAGGTGAAAAAGTGAACCGGTAAGAAAAACGTGTGTATCAATAGAAAATTTAAAGTAAGCTGTAAGGTATCGCGTATTTTTGAGTTTATTTAATTAATTATAATATTTTCTCTATTTATTTATTTTTAAGACTGTGCTGTG